GAACACAAAAATCCTCATACTTAGCAATAGAAGCATCAAGCTCCTTTGAGTCTCGCATCCTTATATGATTTTTCGGACAAAAAAAAAATCAAAAAATGCTTGAAAATAATTTCTACGTAAAGATCTCTTTGCAAACAATAATCACCTTCAAATATCAGAATGCACAAAGTATCACTTCTAGACTTTCTATGTCAAACACTACATTAGGATACCAGTTCCCACTAAAATCTCATACATTTTAGCACCAGGGAATGTCCTAAACATCCTCTGTATACCACCATCATCATCAATAGGCCAATGTTTCCCTCTATATGCATAAGTAAAGATAGGATTAACTATAACTACCCCTTTTTTCTATACTTCATCCTCAAAGTCTATGATTAAATCCATGAGATTACAACAATCAACATCCACTTCAATATAAACTTTATGCACAACAAATCATCATAAACTCAAGAACAACACAATTTTAAACCTAGGTAAAAATTTAAAAGCACTGTAACATGCATCACACAAACACCATATAATCGAATTATATATGTGAAAAAAATCCAAATTTTAGCATCTACAATACATAAAGTGCAACTCAAGCATAATTCAACCAAAATCGAACAACATTACATCATAATTCCCTTTTTGAACTCATAATTGAACCCCCCCAAAGAAAAGCATTCATTACCCCAAAACATAAGAATTTATACCAAATAATTCACAAAATCAAGATCGAAGTTGAGTACTAACCTTAATCCGCAGTTTGTCAAAGTGATTCACCACAAATTTTGCTTCAATTATGGCTTCTTGCGAGCTTCACAACAGGGGAGAGAGTTTGGAAGTTGAACGATCAAAATTTTTTCCCTTTTTTTTTTTACTTTAAATGATGTGATTCTTTTGTGAGGAGAGTTTTCTAATTTTACTTACCCTATTGAAAGAACTTTAAACATCTAATTTGATGTCATAAACATTTCTGCTCCATATAAGTACATAAGTATAAAGTTAATTAAAAGATGTTTTAATTACACATATTCCCAAGGTTAAGTTAATTTAAAACATTTTTTCATGAAAAAGTCTTGATTCCAAAAAAAACTAGAACTAATTCTAAACATGCTTAATTAAAGTCATATATCAACTCTATTCATGTTTGATAATTCAGAATAACAACTTACCGAATTACTTCGTATAATTTTAATATCGATTAAACGAACAAATGTTCCTAAAACTAAGTGAATATAAAGCAAAACAAGTTTCATAAGAATTTTTGTTAATTTAAAGGACTTGTTATGTTAGTTGAGTGACAATCATTTAATATAATGTTAAAATTAAAATCCGACTTATTGAAACTAAAAAATTAGCCAAATCAAATGATACTATACTATTGTTTGATTGTGCAGAGTAACAACTTACCAGTTATATTTTAAATATTAAAATTGATATATATGAATTAATAATTGTAAAAACTCTTATTCTAATTCTCGGACATTATGCTTGAAAAAAGGAAAATGGTGGAAATTTAAAGGTTCAATTTCAGCAAATGCATAAGTGTATAAATTAAAATTTGTAATTTGGAAGTCATAAAGTCTATATTCTTTCAATATTTTGTCATTATTGCTATTTAGTGTACTCTTAATTACTATCAAAATGTGGGATTGTTTGATTGACTAAATCCCCCTATTCTTCTTCTAATTCTATGAATTTAGACCATACTTACAATTTTCTTCTCGTAATTCCCTGATTCATGCTCTAAAACCCTATGATTTTCCTTATATTTTGTTATTTAGGTGTATTTTCAATGCCCTATTTATACTTTGAAATAATGTATCAGCATAAAACAAACTAATATGTACTCTTAATTAGTTAATTGTGGTACATCTTTTGCATGGTTCATAAATTTTTCCCTAATCTTCTGCTCTGTCTTTCATCTTCTTTTTCTACTTTGCTTTTTTTTTTTTTAAATAAAAAAATTTCATTTCTGTATAATAATGGCTAGCACTGGTAGCTCCGCCACTCCTGGAAGCGTATTTGCACAACCAATTTGGAGATTTGATGAGTCGAAATCACAAGAAGATAATGCTGCAAGTTTCCGGGTGTATGCCACCGCTATGTCGAACAAGATGAACAATCACTTAGAATTTCTGGAATAAGGAATTTCAAGGGTGACGAAAAATAAAAAAGAAAAGGAAGAAACTACTAAGAAAAAAAGCGACAGATTGTAAGGGGTGGCTTTGGTGAATGGCCAGTTATGATTGTTGAATCTGACAGTCATGAAGTTCAAAGCAAATCCAATGACGGAAGTAAAGCTGAAAAGAAAAGGGAGGATACTAAACAAGAAATTGAAGATCAGAAAGATGGTGCAAAGGAAAAGGATGAGCCAACAGAAAAAAAGGAAAATATTAAAGAAAAATCTGTTAGAGGTGCTTTAGAATAGTAGCTTATGTTTTTTTTTTGGTTTTAAAAAAAAATTTAAGGGAAAAAGTATTGTGTAATTATCTAAATAATGAAAATATATATGTCTTATTTTGAAATGTTAATGTTAATTTCTATTTACTACAACTTGGATGCCCTAAAGTTTGGTAAAAATTAAAACTGATATACATATATTAATAATTATAAAAACTCTTATTAATCTAATTAAATTATACTTATATAATATTAATTTTCTAAAAAACAAATTAATTCACCTCAACTCTACATAAATTAAAAACATTTTACCTTAATTTCTCGATGTGTGTGAAAGTAAGGTCTACCCTTCTTCATCCGTTGAAAATTAATTATTACACAATACTAAACACAATACCAAATTGTAAATTAGAATACCTCATTATTCATAAATGCAATACTAAATTTACACAATAATAAATTAAATTCTAAATTATAAATTAAAATCATTTATTTTCACAAATACAATTCTAAATTTACATTAAAACTAAGAAATACGAACACCATATCAACACCATAAATTTACCTTTTAGGAGTATCGCGCGCCTTGCACGCGATGGGACAATTAGTATGAAAATAAAAGTAAATAGAAGGAGGAAAACGAGAAGAAAAATATTAACAAGAACCTAGATTAAGAACATTATAAATTCTTTCAATTAAAAAAAAAGAACATTGTAAATTAAGAATTATAAAATAAATTACGAAAATAAACTAAAAACTACTAAAATACACAAAATAAAGATCAAATAAGGAATATAAGAAAAAGAGAGAAATAATGCTGATAAGTCAATATTTTATATATTTTATTATATCATTTTAATGCTATTTTAGAGTATAAATTTATAAAATTATAATTTTTTGTTGTCTTATTATGAGATTTTATATTGTAATACTCGATTTAGTGAATTATACTCATAATAAGCTCGTTTTAAGAATTAATCAATGAATTTGATTTCCCTCTTATTTTAATATGTTTTCCAATTGATAATTATAATGAACATAATCTATTTTTATTATTTTAGGGAAAGGAGCTCAAGTCAATGTTCATTAGTTAAGTACTTAAGTGAAATGGAGCAAAAGAAAATAATTAAACAAAGAAAGCCCACTTGAGTTCCTAACGTGATACACTTCACCAAAGAAAGAATGAAAGTGGGTTGAAAACCCATTACCTTAAAACTTCCAAAAGAAAGTAGCGGCGACAGCAAGAGGCAAACCCACGAAAAACCCTCAAAAAACTCACTGATATAGAAGAGCAGCCACGCAGCAGAAGGGGGTATCACTCACACACGAAGAGAGAAGAGCAGCCGGAGATTAAGGACGGAGCAGCAGCACCTCGCGAGAGCCGTGACTGAATTTTATGCAATTGACTGGTTTTTGCTTGATTTTATATGTTTAGTATTGACTCTTCATTAATTAGTTGTGTTCTCTTGATTTCCATGTCTAGCTAATTTCGTTTGTTCTAGGTTAGGGATGTAGTCCTTTATTATCTATCAATGAATTGAATTACTTTGTTTGGGTTTGATTTATATAATTGCAATTTGATAATCTTGTTTTAATTTGTACTCTTAATCTGGCCAATTGATTGTATGTTTAAGGTATTGGATTATTAGCGGAAGTGAAATTTCAATACTAGTTCGTGGGATTATCAAACGTCAAGTAGTATAATTTTAGGAATAGTTATACACTTGGGGTGGTCTTTTTGAATTCCTATTCTTAATGAGTTTATTTCAATTGTTGTGATCACGGAAGTAGACATAATGTTGATTTAAATATGCGTTTTCTACATTGGAAGAGGAGATTACATACTATTGGTAATTAGATCATTGTTATATTATATATGTTCAACCCAGCAATTAGTTTAATTTCATTATAGAGAGTAATTGGCGCAACCCGAAACCTAGAACTACTTCTTATTATTGTCTATTGTTTTATTAGTTTGCAAGCCTTAATTGTTTATAGTTTAGTACTACTTTTCTCATATTTTCGTCGTCTAAATAATATTCTAGTTTTTTAATTTGGTACTTGAGTAGACCTCCTTGTGGATACAATACCTTGCTCACCCTATATTTACTGTAATTGACCCGTACACTTGCGGTAGATTTAGACCCGACCAAGTTTTTGGCGCCGTTGCCGGGGAGGCAATAATTCAATATCATACCGTAGAAACTTTCGTATTAGTTTAGACTTTATTTTTATTTCTGCCAGTATTAAATCACATATTTTTATTTTTATTTCTACTAGTTTATTTTTCAGTTTTGTGTCGTTGGCAGTTTGTTAAAAAAAAGAAAAAATTCTGTTACTGCTACTGCACACAGCAGCAGTTTACAGGAGAAAAAAAAATCTGCATTTTTATTTTTTTATTTTGAGTTTATGTTTTCGATATTCTGTTTCAGCATTATACTCTACTTTTTAAGGTTATTTTTTAGTGTATGCCACATACTAATCGTTCTTTAATCCCTTTTGATCAAGAAATCGAAAGAACGTTGCACGCGTTGAGGAGACTCCAGATTTCTGAACAAGAACCTTTAATTCCTAACTTGGATTCGCTTTTCTCATAAACAGAAGACATGGTAGAACCACCACCTAAGATGTTACGGGAGTATGCAATGCCCGATGCTAGTTCAACCTCTGCAAGTATAGTAAGACCTTCTGTCCAAGCTAATAATTTTGAACTTAAGCCTGCTTTAATCCATATTGTTCAGCAAGATCAGTTTGGTGGGTCACCTATTGAATGTCCATTAGAACATTTAGCTAATTTTCTTGAAAAATGTGATACCATTAAGATAAATGGTGTAAGTGAAGATGCTATTAGACTTAGGTTGTTTTCATTTTCACTTAGAGATAAGGCAAGAAAATGGTTGTCCTCTAAATCGTCTGATCCTTTTACCACTTGGACTTCTTTATCTCAAGCTTTTCTAAATAAATTTTTCCCAATTGCTAAAACGGCTAAATTGCACAATGATATTACTAATTTCACTCAAAATGAATTAGAGTCATTATATGAGTCTTGGGAAAGGTTTAAAGATTTGCAACACCAATGTCCTCACCATGGAATACCTGATTGGCTACTTGTGCAAACTTTTTATAATGGCTTAAATCACTCTATTAGAAGTACTATAGATGCTGCAGCAGGTGGTGCTGTAATGAGTAAGACAACAGAAGAGGCTAATAAGTTATTAGAAGAACTTCCTTTTAATAATTATGGTTGTTCTAGTGAAAGATCAGTTGCTAAAAAGAGTACAGGGATGTATGATGTGGATGGTATTAACATGTTAAATGCTAAGGTTGATAATTTGACTAAAATTTTCAGTAAAATGAGTAATGTTAGTCTTATTTCTAGTCCTGATTTGTCTTGTGATAATTGTGGGGGTGCACATGCCAGTAATGATTGTCTTAATTTTGAACAAGCTCAATATGTTTCTAATTATAATCGATCACAAAATGACCCCTACTCTAATACTTATAACCCTGGCTAGAAGAACCATCCTATTTTTTGTTGGAGAGATCAAGGAAACCAAGCTAATAACCTTAGACCACAAAATCCACCTGGTTTCCCTCAAAGACAACAACCACAACAAGAGAGACCATCATGGGAATTGGCTATTGAAAAACTTGCTAATGCTACTTCTGAGAGAATCATAAAATTGGAAAATAAAGTGATCAACTAGCTAATTCAACCAAAAATATGGAAGTTCAAATTGGACAAATAGCTAATGCTATTAATTCTAGGAGTCAAGGAAATTTGCCTAGTAAAACTGAAGTTAACCCTAAAGAGCAATGTAAAGCTGTAATCTTAAGAAGTGGTAAAACCCTTGATGATGTAAATGTTCAATCTAAAACCAGTGAGCTTGTAAGTGAAAATGCCAAGAATGAAATTGAAAAGCAACTTGAAGATAGCAAAGATGATTATTATAAACCTGTTCCTCTTAAGCCATATGTATCTCCCATTCCTTTTCCTCAGAGACTTATACAGAACAAAGTGGATAATTAATTCGAAAAGTTTCTTAAAATGTTCAAAAAATTGCATGTTAATATTCCTTTTGTAGATGCTTTGATGAAAATACCCTCTTATGCTAAATTTCTCAAGGAAATCATGTCTAAAAAGAGAAAATTGGAGGACTATGAGACTATTGCTTTAAGTGAGGAATGTAGTGCTGTAATTCAACAAAAGCTTCCACCTAAATTGAAAGACCCAGGTAGCTTTTCTATTCCTTGCACTATTGGTGAGATTAAATTTTCTAGAGCTTTATGTGACTTAGGTGCAAGTGTTTCTCTCATGCCTTTGTCTATTTACAAGAAGCTAGGCTTAAATGATTTAAAACACACTACCGTGTCTTTACAACTTGCTGATAGATCCATTAAATATCCTCTAGGAGTTGTGGAAAATGTGCTAATGAAAGTTGATAAGTTTATCATTCCTGTTGATTTCATTATTCTTGATATGGATGAGGATGTTAATGTCCCCATTATTCTAGGAAGACCATTTTTAGCTACTGCTGGTACTATAATTGATGTTAAAAATGGCAAGCTAACTTTTAAAATTGGTGAAGAAGAGGTGCATTTCGATTTGTCCCAACCAACAAAACATTCTCTTGTTTCTGATCACGTCTTTAAAGTTGATGAGATCACTGATGTAGATAGAAAATCAACAAATTTTGTTTCTGAAAATACCCTCGAAGAATGTCTATCAAGTGCAGGCACAACTGAAGATGAATATGCAGACTTAATAGAGATTGCAAATGCTATTGAAGCATGCCCACCATGGAAGAAAAGAGGTAATTTTGAAGTTTTGGAGATAATTGGCCAGCGGTTCAAACCTTACTTAGGCTGTGAGATAGGGCATGAGATGATGACTAAAGAAGTGACTTGACTTCTTAGAAGACCCTGGTTAAGAACACTTATGAGAGTCAGGCTCGTGACTTAAAACACGCGCTACTTGGGAGGCAACCCAAGCTCTTTTTCTTTTCCTTTTTTTTGGTTTTTGTTTGTTTTTCTCGTTCCTATTTTATCTTTTCTTTCTATTTGTTTTGTTTTGTTTCAGCTTTGAAAATATGATGGTGATTTGGACACTTCTAAATGAAGAGAAAGGAACTATTGCTCTGGTAGAATATGCTGTTTCAGGGATGTGGCTGTTATGTGTCAAGAGGTGTAGCTGCTGCTCACCAGAGTAGTTCTAGCTGCTACAAACACCAAGCCTCAAATTCCACCAGGTTGTCTCTTTCTATGCTTAGTTTTCTTTGTTTTTGTGTCCTTGGGTGCTATAAATACACCAATTCTCTGCTTTTCAATTCTGTTTATTAACATTGAGGACAATGTTTGTCCTTAAGTGTGGGGGAGAGGTCAGAAATTGCTGCAAATGCCCTCTGTATTTTGAGTTATACTTAGTTTTGTTATGTGTTTCCATGTATGAAGCATGGCTGGGATTTTGTGCAGGTTTTGAATGACTTAAAAATTTTGATATATGCCTGTTTTAGGGGAAGTGCTGCCAAATTTTCTGTAGAATTTTCATGAAAAAAAAGAGTTCCGTTTTGATTGTCACTAATTGACTTGTTTTGGATCAATAAAAAAAAAATATATGGTATGTAAAGATAGCAAAAGTCCTTCAATGACATTGGTTGTGACATTTTTTTTGTGACTTTGTGGTAAGATGGATTGCTTTTCCCTTATGCGATGAATCCCGAAAGGAGGGCCACAAACCTCGTAAGACTCAATTTTCTACATATTTATCCTTCTTCTTGATTGCTCAAATTGGGACTTGCATTTTAGCTTCCTGAGATCAAAGACCAAGGTGTATGAGAAATGATAAAGGCATTATTTTTTTTCTTTCATGATTAGAACCTTCAGAATTTAGGCTCACTCATATTTTTTCTCTTTTACATTTTCCTGTTGCTTAGCCCTGTTGTGCCGTAATATCCATCTTTTGGTTAACCCTACATTACAAGCTTATGGCCTTTACCTATGCCTTGCTAAAAGGAGTGATGTTATTATTGAGTTATGTCTTAAGTTTTGTAATAGAAGAGGGAAGAAAAAAAATTTGAAAGTATGAAAAGAAAAGAAAAAAAAAAAAAATGAAAATGAGCCTCGAAAAAAAAAGTCTGAAAAGAAGGGTCGAAAAAAAAATGAAAAAAAAGTTGAAAAAAAAGCAAAAATATCATACAATCGAAATAAGTTGAAAATGATGAAAAAAGGGTTATAGTTTAAAAATTGGAGTACGGTGATGATATATTGGTAAGAGTGAATATGATCTCTACTTTTAAAGATTGTGTATTACTCTTTTAGCTTGGCATTTTTACCACCACATTCCTAAATATTCACACCCTTAACCCTAGCCTCGTTACAACCATATGAAAGTCCTTTTGATCTATATATACTATTGGTCTACAAATTGGTGGAGGGTTAGATTTGGTGCAAGTCCTGACGAGGGTCATCAAACCAAAGAGAGGCATGAGCTAAACGGTTGAGCATCCCTAGGGTGGATTCAAATTTGGGGAAAAGAAGCGGTAAAAATGATTGGTCAATGAGGGTGCTAATTCTTGTTTCATATCACACTTGATCCATTCTTGTTGATTGTGACAACATATGATCTTATGATGGAATGAAATTGAATTTGAAATTTTTTGATACGATTTATTATTATTATTTGCTTGAGGACTAGCAAATCTCAAGTGTGGGGGAGTTGATAAGTCAATATTTTATATACTTTATTGTATCATTTTAATGCTATTTTAGAGTATAAATTTATAAAATTATAATGCTTTGTTGTCTTATTATGAGATTTTAAATTGTAATACTCGATTTAGTGAATTATACTCATAATAAGCTCGTTTTAAGAATTAATCAATGAATTTGATTTCCCTTGTATTTTAATATGTTTTCCAATTGATAATTATAATGAGCATAATCTATTTTTATTATTTTAGGGAAAGGAGCTCAAGTCAATGTTCATTAGTTAAGTGAAATGGAGCAAAAGAAAATAATTAAACAAAGAAATCCCACTTGACTTCCTAACGTGATACACTTCACCAAAGAAAGAATGAAAGTGGGTTGAAAACCCATTACCTCAAAACTTCCAAAAGAAAGTAGCGGCGGCAGCAAGAGGCAAACCCACGAAAAACCCTCAAAAAACTTATTGATATATAAGAGCAGCCACGCAGCAGAAGGGGGTATCACGCACACACGAAGAGACGAAGAGCAGCCGGAGATTAAGGACGGAGTAGCAGCACCTCGCGAGAGCCGTGACTGAATTTTATGCAATTAACTAGTTTTTGCTTGATTTTATATGTTTAGTATTGACTCTTCATTAATTAGTTGTGTTCTCTTGATTTCCATGTCTAGCTAATTTCGTTTGTTCTAGGTTAGGGATGTAGTCCTTTATTATCTATCAATGAATTGAATTACTTTGTTTGGGTTTGATTTATATAATTGCAATTTGATAATCTTGTTTAATTCGTACTCTTAATCTGGCCAATTGATTGTATGTTTAAGGTATTGGGTTATTAGCGGAAGTGAAATTTTAATACTAGTTCGTGGGATTATCAAAAGTCAAGTAGTATAAATTTTAGGAATAGTTATACACTTGGGGTGGTCTTTTTGAATTCCTATTCTTAATGAGTTTATTTCAATTGTTGTGATCACGGAAGTAGACATAATGTTGATTTAAATATGCGTTTCCTACCTTGGAAGAGGAGATTATATACTATTGGTAATTCTATCATTGTTATATTATATATGTTCAACCCTGCAATTAGTTTAATTTCATTATAGAGAGTAATTGGCGAAACCCGAAACCTAGAACTACTTCTTATTATTGTCTATCGTTTTATTAGTTTGCAAGCCTTAATCGTTTATAGTTTAGTACTACTTTTCTCATATTTTCTTTGTCTAAATAATATTCTAGTTTCTTAATTTGGTACTTGAGTAGACCTCCTTGTGGATACGATACCTTGCTCACCCTATATTTACTGTAATTGGCCCGTAGACTTGCGGTAGATTTAGACCCGACCAAATGCGTAAAACTAGGGAAATTATTTAGAAACTAAATCGAAAAATAAGCATAAAAATACCCTAAAAGTGACATAAAAGTGACATTAATATTGCTGCTTGTAGCAATAATTGGGTTAATGGAACGAGACCAGTGGTCAAGTCAAATCAGACTCTTCGTGACAGTTGGAGATGGAAGGTTGGATTTTATTAACCAAACTTCTTGTTCTTGGAACGCTTCTCTTATAAGAGAGAGATTTGAGTGGAATAGTGCACAAGAAATTTAAGGAATGTAGCTTCCAAAGAAAGGGGGGAAGACTTCATGTATTGGCCTAATCACTCGTCAGGAAGTTCACAGTGAAAATGGGGTATGCCTTCTTATCACAAAAGACTAACTTTCAGGATCCAGATCATAGTAAGGAAAATGAGGATTTCTTCAAAATCATCTGGAGACTACGCATTCCGCCCAAATGGAGTATGTTCTTGTGGAAACTTT